TCAGATTTTGATGTTTAAAAGGCTTAACTACTAACTTTAGTAAATATAGAGAAAGTTATTTTTATTCTCATGAAATAATTGCAATATGATTTTCGTGAAATTTAAGTAACTTGCCTGTTTGGCTTTGAATCCTTTGCTTGGAGTTTTTTATTATTATAAACATTTGGATAGGAATGAAGAGACATACTAAAATTGTACTCTCCATCTTCACTGCTACTCCGATCAGAGAGATTATCCTGTATAGGGCTTGGAGTAGAAATTAAATCTTCCACTATTGGGCTCCCATCAGTTGCAGTTTTATTTTCATAGTAAGTTGGATTAAAATTTGTCATTACTGGAGGTTGTTCAAAGCATTCTACAGTATAGGCTTCCATGTATTCTGCAGCTTGTTGTAGAATGCGTGGGTCTGAAGCGCCCACGAGGCAGGCCCGATGGACCCTGGAAATGCTACGCTGTTTGCCTGGTAAACCAAAATTCTTGGCCAAAGGCCGAGGAACTTCAGCCAATGTTTTGCAACCGGGGACTCGTAGATATTGGAGGCTATCCGCTGTATCGTGGTGGTATTTTGCAGCCTGCGCGGAGTAGGATGAAGCAAGGGTACAGGTCGAGCGCGATTCCCTGAAACATGCTAATTGTGGTGAGTTGGCTGCTTTGCTCAAGCGACTGCGCAGGCGCTCAGAAGGCGTCATGCATTCTGCTGGTAGATCATACCTCCAGAATACAGGCTCGAAGGTGAAATGGAGCACATTAGTGCGCGTGCTGACAAGGAAACTTGAAAAAGGTCAAATTAATGGGCTTGCAAACAAGATATAACTACAGCATAACTGACAGTTAAAGCTGTCCGTCAAATCAAGATCTTTTTAATCCTAATATAAAAAGCGGTATCACACAAGACTTATGTAATAAATTAATATACCAGATTCTTGCAAGTCCCCAAAATAGGTTTGATTTACTTGTATCTATCATATATTGTTATTTGTTTTCAGTTTTCACCTGAATCGTCCCTAAATGATAAATAATACTAATTTCTAAAAAATAGTTTAGGCTGAAGGAGATTTAATCGAAGGTATGAAGACCAAGATGGTGTGGCCTTTTGTGTGGTCGCAGTCTTTAGTAGATTTAGTTAAATGATTATGACAATGAGTAAATAGTGTAGTGAAACTGCGTTCTCCCGAGAATAGAAAGTCTGAGAGCTGACAATAGAAAATATTTTTCCTAGTATGACTTTGTTTTTCGCGACTGTTACGAATTCAGGGTGATTTTGAAAGACGTGGCCCATCACGCATCCTGCAAGCGTGTCATTGGGTGATATTGAATGGATGTATTACCAGAAGTTTCGCCGGAATCGTAGTCGGCATCGCCGAAGAGCAGCGCTAGTCCAATTTTTTGTAGGAGGCTTCGGGCATTTCTCAATCTTCCTTGAAATGATCCTACTTCTATTTTGCACCACTGAATCCTTACCCCATATTCGTACATCGGATGGCTAGGCCTCATCTCTTATCCAATTTGTACCCTCGTTCATTCAGATAAATTCTTGTTAATCAGAGTAGTAATAATTTTATCGCAGGCTAACAAGCCCTGCTGATAAATGAGGATATGAAAAAGGAGCTTAAACTTTTCAACTAAAATAATACAATGATGCAATGAGAGCCCAAAAAATGAGGGACTTAGATTGAGATATCCTTCGCCACTTTCAGTATTCACCAGATATTGCATTGAACGATAATTATTTTATTTGTTAAATCACTAACGCGTGAAAAAAAAATTAGAATGAGGAAATCAGATACTTCCTCTATTTTTTTTAAACCTAAAAACTTGAGACAAACTTGAGACTTGTGGCAAGGAATTATATTCAGGAATTATTTACAATGTTGTCGCCCTTTTCACGTAATCTTGGTATGCTGGTGGACGGGATCCCTGATTTGGCCTCACTGTTAAACACCCTTAAGGCTGAAAGCGCTGATCTTTTCGAAGAAGTTTACGATTCAGGTGAAAGTATATTGAACTTTATTCATGCGACAGACGCCGATGCATTTAAAAAAAGGCACTGATACAGTAAGCCAAGAAAGACAGACGGCTGCAATCTTACCTTCAATGCAGATATAATATCAAGAATTAATGTGTTCTTAACTATCAGGACTTTAAAAGATGAGACAAAATGACAAATAAGGTCATCTGCGTAAGGCCAAATTGAGTTGGTAAGCACTTGACATTTTAAATGACCGAGAGGAAGAATAAATTTCATAACTTATGAGTAATTATCTAATAACAATCTACCTGTTTTCAGAATGGCAGATAGCAAGAATAGGGTCAGAATACTGATTGCCTCGAAATTCTCGGAGACAGTTAAATGTGATGAGACTCCAGATGCGAATACGCCCATCCATGCAACCTGTAACTAGGCGCAGGTACCGCATCTCAAGTGAGGTGACATCACTAGTATTGCAAAGAATATGTAAGAAAATTATACGCTTTAAATTTCCCCCTTAGGATATCAGTTGATGAAAAATTAAATTCATATAGGTAAACGGCTTAAAACTCTTTACGAAAATTTCTAATTTTATAGCTTAAATTTTGCTGAATGTACCCCGTACAACAAAAATAGTAATCTTCTGTTCAGTTCTCAATTATTGTTCAAAATAAGCGAGATTAAGAAATTTACACAATAATAATATCAGTTAAGTTATATCTAGTAAAATAGCCTTCTCGACATGAAAAAATTGTCAAGCAATACTTCTCGGGTTTGGATACACCCTTAGAAACCTCATTCTTGATTCATAAAAGCAATCGCATGCAAATATTTAAACTTGGATTTTGTTCTATTCAGTCAATATGTGTAGTGTACGTTTAATAAGCAATTTATCTTTGCTGATATTTCC